AGGTAGGTGATGGCTGTATGTCCGAAATGCCATCGGATGGAGAAATCCCCCATCCACCCGGCGTCCTTGTCAGAGCGAAACCATTCCCCTCCGTTTGTGCGGTACTTTTCCCGTCCGTCTCCGAGGTACTCGCGCCAAATTTCTCACATCCTGGAAACCAAGGAGTACATCGCGGTAGATCGTCGTCAAATGCGGTGGTCGTGAAACTCCGGATAAAAGGTAGCATCTTTACAGTACCCAGGTATATCGAGCCAAACCTAAGGCTGTACCTCAACCACGAAATCGACAGGCAGGAGGCGAAAAAGAGGAAAACGCGAAAAAGAAGAGATCAGAAATCGAAACAAACCTCTCCAGCCTCAAGGCCACCTATGAACAAAGACAACCCCATCGTATAAGCCGATCAGGCTTCCAGCTCAGCCGCAGCATCCCACAAGGCACGCTGCACTCCGCCTCACGCACTGCAGCAACCCAAACCCCGAAAATCCTTCCAACTCCCAGACACACGCTTTGTTGCTTACCGTCGTACGGGCAATCAAGCCAGACGCCTTGTCAAGATTGTGCAGCTTCCCACTATTGGGACGGCGTAACGTGGGGCGCAAGGGTAGGAGTAAGCAAACCAGTCCCAGTATGAGTGCGCGGATACGGTGATCCATTTGTTGCGCTAGGGCGGCGGCTGTTTTGTTGTTTGGGGGCCTGGGGATGCATGTGTGGATAAGGGCGGCTGTGCGCAGCCTTGTTCTTGTTTGCACAGCCTAGGTAAGGGTTGTTCGCGTTGTGCAGGGTAGGGTGGGTTTTAGATTGCGGGTGTCTCACTTGTTGGTGGTGTTTGAGCGGCGGGCGGGGAGATGTCACGGCACGTGGTGGTTAAATGGGGAAAGAGCGAGGTTTGCACATGCCATTTCTCAAATCCAGGTTGCCGGCGGGCAAGGGCAGGGTCTATGTGTTCTAGCGTCCACCACCACCACTTCTTCAAACCTTGTTTCTGGTTTCTTTGGTGAACTTCCCTCGAGTTCGCTTGTCGGTATGGATACTTTGGCACCTTCGGTACCTTCAAGTTCTTGTGCGGTTTCTTGGCATGGAAGTTCTGCTGTGCTGTACGATCCTTTGTGGGCCAGCATCTCCACAATCTGATGGTGAGCTGAGACTTCAGCTGCGCTTTCATCGGAGCTATAACCCCGCGCTCTTTGTTTGCGTCGCCTGATACATACAAAGGCGATGATCAGGGCTACTAACACCGCCAAAGCCACGATGCCGGCTGCGATTCCTCCCTTTGCGCCGTTGGAAAGACTCTTTGAGTTGGTGGAAGCTGCGTCTGTGTTGGTTGAGGTATTTGACGGCGTCGAGGTTGGGGAAGTCGAGGAAGCTATCCATGTCGATTGTTAGCGATTGCTTTGTTGCTCATGGGGATTATGGAAACATACCCGTCACCTTCTCCAATCTCCCGTTCTTCAGGAAGCACCCTCGAAGGCCCAGTGTCTCACAATCTTTATCCAACCCCTCTACCAAATCCGGTGCCAACATCGCCGCATCAATCGCAAACCCGGGATACACAGCCGTCGCCGCATCAAACGTAGCGTTCATGAGCCAACAATTTTCGAATTCTGTCGCGCCGAGAGGTCGAAAATCGAAGCCGTAGCACAGCGGCTCTTTCTTGACGCAGCGACCCATGCAATCGGACCAAGTTTCTTCGAAGGTGGGATCGAGGAAGTCGACTTTGGCGCCAATGTCTTTCCCGCAGAGGTTTTGGAAGGGCACGGTGAGGTTGAAGTCGTGGTAGGTGGTGGTGTTGCCTTCGCATCTGTCGCTGTCTGATTGTGCGGTGGTGTGTGTGATGATTGTGAGAAGGCATGCGAGCCAGACGTATGAAGGCATTATGGGCAGCACGATAATGAGTCGTCCCCTACTTAGCAGACGGTAAACAGAGATCGGGAAGATACAAGAAAGGCCGGATTTACTGAGCACCTTCGGTAGCTAAAATACATCTTCTCCGTCTTCTCCCACAGCCTGGTAACGAGCATCGGCCCCCTCAACAGATGCAGCGGACATGCCGCAGACGATCCTCTCGACGTCAAGATCTGTACTTTACCCAATGATACTCGCACCGTGCATCTTCTCCTCCAGCCACATGTTCTTGGCAAAGCACGAGGCGTTCTCAGCCTTGTGCGAACCTCAAGAGCTATGCTGAGAAACTGGGTCCGTTGTAAGGGTGGAGTGTATAAATAGTCTGAATGAACGGGAGAGAAGACGATCTTGTATTTTACTGCGCCCTTGAACAGGAATGCTGCGCAAAAGATTGAACTTAGTGAGTAGCTAGCCTCGTCCGTCAGAGTGAGCGATATGTATGCCAAGAATATGGCGGTTCATGTGCATTGCGGGACGGCCTGCCGTAATCGTTGTTCATAGAAAAGATCAGCTTCAATGTTGATCAAATTTGCAAGTGTCGACTGGCTTGACGTTGTCAAGTAACCGCCATTGCTCTCCACCTTCCCTCAATAAGAAAACGGCCTAATAGCATACGTCTCCTTCTCCTCCGGCAGTGGCGAAACAGGCTTCTCCATAAATTCGGGGTACAAATACCACGCCAAGTGTTTGCCCTCCGTCTGCGCACTAGTCCACCCATTGCCCAACCAAGCCAACCTGTTGCTCGTCTTCCCCACACCATGTAGCTCTGTACCGTCACTCTGTCCCTCGAGCTCATCCAAATAAATATAGTCGAAGTCTTCCCACCTCGGACTCCTCATCGTCTCAACACAATGCAACGTACTTCCTGGCCAGAGCCCAACGACCTCGCCCGTCCCCTTGTTCTTGTACCAACTTCTGCATTCGTCGGCGAAGACAGTGCCCTGGAAGTAGGCGTCGACGTATTCGATGAAGTCCTTCTCGCGCGCTTCCTTGACAACCATGGCTGCGATGTTTTCTTTTTGGATCTTGCGGATTGCTTTGATGATGTAGTCGCCTAGGGTCTCGATCATGCACGTCAGGCTGCCGGAGCCGATTGCGGCGTTGGGACCGAGCATGGTGAAGAGATTGGGGAAGCCAGATACGGAGTGTGAGAGGTAGTTTACGGCGCGGTCCTCCCACCTTTTAGCAAGTGGCAGGCCGTTGCTGCCGGTTAGGGGGAACGGAGGTGGGGCTGAGGCTTTGAAGCCTGTGGCACACACGAGAACGTCGATTTCGTGCGTTTTTCCGTCGGCTGTGTGGATTGCGGATTCGGAGATGTGTGTTATGGGCGATGTGACGAAGTCGACATTGGGTTGCGTCAAGGCTTCGAGATAGCCTGGACCAGGCGTCAACCGACGGCACCCTGGGGAGAAGGAGGGTAAGAGTGCTTCGAAGATCTCAGGCTTGCTCTTCAGCCTCTCTTTCATGTGCTGATGGAACATATCCTTTGCGCCCTTTTGTAACTCAGTCCCTTTCATGGTAACAGCATGGATGCTGTTTCCATCTTCCTCGACTGAAAGCCTGAACTTGTGGTAATATTCTGGATCGTTCGCGAAACGATCGCGAAGCTCTGGGGGAATCGTCGAACCATTGAAACCGTACTTGTCCCATAGCTGTTGGCCGAAGGGAGGCGAGATCCACGTCTTACTACGCACAAAGGTACTAATATGAGTACCTGGTAGACGCTGCAGCGACGGGACAATCTGGATGGAGGAGGAACCAGAACCGATGACGCCTACTCGCTTGTTGTTGAAGTCGTAGGCTTGATTCCAGACTGCCGAATGCATGACCTCGCCTTTGAACGTCTCAAAGCCCTTTATCTCAGGCCAAGATGGTGTGTTCAAACCACCCCTCCCTGAAACAAGTACGTCGGCCTTGTCCTGTAGCACATCTCCTGTGTCGAGATTCTTCACTGTGATGTTCCACTTCGCAGTCTTGCCATCCCAGTGGCATGCCTGAATCTCATGGCGTAGCTTGATGAAGCGATCCGCGGAGTACTTGTGCGCTACGTCTTGGAGGTAAGATTGAATCTCCGCAGACGGGGCATAGAGCGACGACCAGTTCGGGTTCGGTTGGAACGTATACTGGTATGAGTGAGCTGTAGATTATTAGCCGTGGTTGTACTCGTAAGTTCAAGCTTGCTTACATGGTATGTCGCATGCGCAACCGGGATATCTGCGATCAAGTCAGTGAATGCACTGCGAAACAGTAAGAAGACCTTGGTTAGTCACAGAAGAAATGCTTACCTGTTCTCGTACCAAGTCCCTCCAACGCCGCCATTCTTCTCATAGATGACAAGATCGACATTTCTCAATCTCTCTGGAATGCGAATGCCGCAATAGATGCCCGAGTATCCAGCACCGATAACAACAACTCTCAGACGTCGCAAGTTTTCCACAGGCGCATCGTTGAGCTTGAAAGGCGGCTTCGCTGAAAGCCCATTGGCATCCTCGTTAATGGAAATGCCAGGCGCGTCGATAGGAAGGTTAGGTACTGCCGACATCGTCAAGAAAGAACGAGTTACACAATAGGAGTAATTGCGCGACGTGTATCCAAATTAAATGGTTTATTCAGAGGCTAGACTGGCCAGCGTAGGTGGTAGTATAGAGTATGACAGAAACGATCCAGATGATGTTGGCCGCAAAATGGCGACAGAGAACCGTTATAAGTACGGCCACCTACACCCCTCACCATCGTCAGGGTTGGCCGTATGATACAAGTGCCGAAGCAGTAGGCGGAGCGTTAGCGAGACGTCGAGTTACCAGTCGGATTCAGCAGACGGCCTGGGGTTCCACCGCTAGGCTTAGCCTATCAGAGCGCGACAGCCTCCGCATCTGTGTCGGCCGAGGCGCCACCCCGGACCTCCACATGCGTCCCGCTGCATCCCGCAACGCGCTCTTAGTGACTTCGCGGAATGTCCCCGTGAAGACTTGCGCGTTCGGCTCTGGATAGTTTTCTATCCGTCCTGTGCAATACAGCTGAGAAACCCCTGCGATGAGCGGCGCGATAGTTGTACCGCAGAGCTGCAATTGAGTTTGTTCCATAGACGATTCCCGGTACTACCTCGGAACCGTGACGATAGCAATCTGTAGTAGTGTAAGCAATTGGAAATCTTCTCTTCGCATTTTGCATACCTGATTTCCAAGAGCGATAGATAACCTAGAACTATCTGGCTCCCAACCAAGACTGTACTCTCCGTCTATGGCCGGGTTCCATTTGTCGCTGGGAGTTTCACTGGCGCGCCACGAGGCAATTGGTACATCTCTCTTTTCTACATCCCAAACAGTGACGGCATCGGGGCCTGCAGCAGCTAAGAGCGACCCGTCTGGAGAGAAAGCAATCTTAAAGGCCTGCGTACCATCCGTGGTAGGTAGATATTTGACGCATTTGAAAGGTTCGTTTGCGTCCCAGATGCGCGTTGCACCAGCCATGGAGCTCGTTGCAAGCAGAACAGAGGGCAGCGAAGAACCGTTCGTAAGGTGGCTGGTCTTTGATTTTACGCGGAAGCTGAGATCGGTGGGGTACTCATCAGGATATTCGTGGACCTGTAGTTGTATCGAGTCGTTGGGGTGGAGGATGCCAAGATAGTACTTCCTGTCTTCGATACCCAGCACGGCGATGATCCTAGACGCAGCGTCATACTTGACTGTTTCCCATGTTACTGAAGTGTCGAGGGTTTGCTGGGTAGTCAGGGAATCGTTGACTTGGTAGATCTTGAAGAGCTTGATACCACAAACGACAAAAGCAGAGTCACTTATCCAGTGGGCGTCGAATATGGCCGTGTCGGTGAATTCGGTCCATGCGGGTATAGAGTCGCTATCGTTCTTCCACACCTTGATGGAACCCTTTTCGCCGTCTGTTGATATCGAGAGCAGCAAGTTTCGTTCGGGGTTCCAGCGAAGCGTGTTGATGAGGCCGGCAGTGGAGGAGATGACCTGTGAGGCCTGGCCGCCTTCGGTAAGCTTGATGAGCTTGTCCATCATCATCTTCTCTCCGACTTCGTTGGATCGCTGTTCTCGCACAGAGACAGTGAGTTCGTTGTCGGAATGCCAGCATAGCGCGGTGACGTCGAAGTTGTCGACGGGTAAGGGTATGTCGAAATGCTGGGTAGGGGGTTCATGGCCAGGGTCTTTGCTCACAACGTGAACTTGGAGTAGGGATTTGCCGGCTGCGAGCAGTACAGGGGAGTCTATAGGCCCCCATAGCGTGTGTTCGATAAGACAGGCAGGGTCTGAGGGGGGAGGGATGGAGACGATGCCGGGAGTGAGATCAGCCACAGCGATGGCCTCAGTCTGGATCTCAGCGTCCTGGCCGATGCTGAGGGTGGATATGGGGATATCAGCAAGCGAGGGCGACTCGGCTTCCGAGACCATGGGCTCCGACTCAGCCCGCACGCTGTTGGTCACATGCGTGGTGCCGTTGTGCTCGATTTCCATGGCATCGCCGTTGACCTGGGGCTCGGGGCGCGGCTCGACGCCATTCGTGGGCTTCGTCTTCTTGCGCTTGAGCGTCTTCTTGGGCGGGGGTTCTTGGACAGCGCCGTTGGCCTCGGCGGCGAGTTCGTGTGCGGGAATGCCCTTGTCGAGGGTCAAGAGGTTGCCATTGCGCGCCGAATAGGGTCGTCCGTGGTCGCTGCCGAACTTGTAGCGCGGCTCCGTCTGCGCTCGTCAGTACCAGCTTCCCGCGCGCGTGGATGCGACGTACATTGCAAGCCTCGGCCTGCAGCTGGTCGAAGCACAGCCCGTCCTGGACGAGCCTGATGAGGGCGTGCTGCTCGATGTTCTTCGCAAAGGGCAGCGTGTCGGGGTCGCGGATCCAGCATCGCGAGAGTTGCAGGGCGGCATTACCGAATCCGGCCTCCTGAAGATATCGCCATACTGCACCTAGACGTCAGTCATGCAGGCCAACAGAGGCGTGGGCTGGGGACGTGTACCGAGATAGTTCATCGCGTTGCTGCTGAGAGTCTCCGCCATGGCGCATCCTGTACGCGCTGCATGCGCCGGGGAGCAGAGTGCGTAGGGTCGGTGATAGGCGGGGCGTGCTGGGTGCGCGATTCGTGGTGGTGGTGGTCGTCGAGCTGTACTGTAGGAGGATCGAAGGCTACCTGCAACTACTCAGCACTCTGGCGGCCGCTAGTCCCCACAGGATCTCCGTCCGAGCGTCGTTCATGATCCCTGCCGTCGACACATGCAGACGCTCCCACGCCTGCATGCGCAATTCACCCTCGACACCTCCACCGCCCGTCTGGACCTGCCCGGGCCGATACGTGAAGGACGCCCGACTGCCTCACCTCCCGCCTCCAGACGCCGCATTCTCCCCACCATGGCGCGCATCAACCTGCCCCCGCTCACTCGGGGCGTGCTGGCGGCCGTCGTATTCTTTACGCTGGTAAATTTCGCACTGCGACCCAACGCGAACCTGGTAGAAAAGATCGAGAAGCCAATCATCGGCGTGGGAAACGGCGTCCCGTGGCTTACCATCGTCCCCCGCTATTCGGTGCCGTGGTATCCTTGGGTCTTCGCGCTGGCGACGGTGGTGGAGCAGAACCTCCTCGGCCTCATCACCACCGGACTCACCGTCTTCTATGGCGGACGCTACCTGGAAAGAGCGTGGGGGTCTCACGAGTTCACCAAGTTCATGCTCTTCGTGGCCATGATCCCCAACATGCTCGCCTATCTGCTCTACATCGTCGGCTACCTGGTCATGGGCAAGACCTCTCTGATGTGCGTACTCGGCCTTCGTCCCATGCACTGTACTGACCAAGCATAGGCGCACGACCATCTCTGGCGGCATCGCCATCCAAGCCGGCTTTCTCGTCTCCTTCAAGCAGCTCGTCCCCGAACACACCGTTGCCATCGCAAAGGGCCTCATCCGCATGCGCGTCAAGCACTTCCCTGCCATCTTCCTCCTCACCAACACCATTTCCGGCATAATACTGGGTACCGAGACGGCCATGTTCCTGGCGTATTTCGGCTTCTTCACTGCCTGGATCTACCTCCGCTTCTACCGCATAAGCCCATCACTATCGTCTACCGCAACTGGCGACGGCTCTGTCATCCGCGGCGACGCCTCAGATACCTTCTCGTTTGCTCACTTCTTCCCAGAGCCCATACAAACACCCGTTGGCGCCCTCTCGGACGGCATCTACAACACACTCGTATCGCTCAAAGTGTGCATACCCTTCTCAGATCAGGATATTGATGCAGGCAACGAACAGGCGAGCGCCCGGGCTGAAGGGGGTTTACCCAGCATCATGAACCCTAACAGCAGGGGCGGTCGAGGAGGAGCCACACGTGCGGAGGCAGAAAGGAGACGTGCTCTCGCTCTAGAGGCTCTGAACCAGCGCCTGAACGCAGCAGCGTCTCGAGGTCCAAGTGCCGCTGCTCCGTCAGCGCCTTCTGTCTCTGGACCTACCGAGTCACTCGGCGAGACAAACTACGAGCCGGACCGACCAGAAGCACCCGAGAGATCAGGGGCGTAGTACACTCGCTCTCAGGGATATCTTAGATCGCTTTGATTACCCGTTGTCGTTCATATACCCGTGGCAGCAGGCGCCTCTCTTACTCCACCGAGTACCTACAAGTTTTGGGCATGGGGCATTGCGGCCGCGTCTTGTCAGCGTTACAGCGCTTTGTTTGGTCGCGTTATTGGAGCGCATATGATACCACCACTCGGGAGGGACTTGTCAGTATTCTTGTACCCAATTATTGTCTACTATCAGAATAGAGTAAGTCGACTGTTTACAAGTCCATCGTTCCATCCGCCGGCTGTTACACCTTGCGAAAGACGTTGCCGCGACGCAGCGGGCCAGTGCCAGAAACGGCACTTCATCAACAATGCGCACTCAAGTGCTCAACTGTACTCGACTTGAATCAGCACTGCCGTTGCGTTTCAGTCGACATGCATCTCTCATGCGCACATAATCGAGCGCCTCCCAGGCACCACCCGCACTTTTGAAGACTACGTTTCCGCAGAAGTCCTCGAAGGGATGCACGCAGCCTACGTGCAGCCTGGTCGCGTACTGCAGGTGATCAGTGCAACCGGGCATTTTGTTACACAACTCTACCCGCCGAGTCTCACGGAGCCGGTAGAGAGCAAGTGTCGTGACAGTTGATACACAGAAAAAGAAATTGTCGTCTCATATTGCTTTGGGAAGAAAGATGCTCTCACCTCCACGAGACGTACAACTCACGAGAAGTACAAGTAGACCGAGAATCTCTATAATTTCTGTAGACAACGCGCGTCCCATTTACATTTCAGTCCTATCAAATCTCTCTACTTTGACAGTAGCAAATCGCTCATCATGTATACATCCATCCTCACCACCCTCCTCATGACCAGCACCACTCTCGCTGCAAGTCTGCCCCCGAGCCCAGGTCATCCTTTCATCCCCTCAGAATACGTCCCAGAATCTGCACATCCAGCTGCAAAGCGACAAGGCCTCCCCCTCGGCGATGTTCTTGGTGGAGGCGATGTTCTGGGCGGAGGCGGTCCTCTGGGCGGCCTAGGAGACTTATTAGGCGCTGGAGGCGACGCCGAGAGCTCTTCTGCTGCGCCCGCCCCGGCTCTGACTCCTGTTCCTAGAGCATCAGACATCGTCATGACGACCACCATGGTCACCGTAACAGCGACCTTGTCTACGCCGTTGCCAGAAGCACCATCAGCTTCCGTGTCTCCCGTGCCTGAAGATCTGGCGGGCGTCTATGTCTGCGACGACATCAACTGGAACGGCGCATGTTCGCACCACTTCACCAAACCAGGCGGTTCAGATATCGACTGCGCGCAACTTTCTGGTAGGGAATCATCGATTGGACCCGATCCGGGGTTCTTGTGCGAGTTCTTCACGTTTGTTCCAATACCTCATCTCTTCGCGACTCTAGCTAATATGTTTGTTAATAGAAACAACTCTTGCCATAAGACTCCTGGCGTTGAATCTGATTTCCTCAGCCTGAGCTGGCCCGGTAATGCGGATCTGAGGAGTACGGACAAGGGTGATTTGAATGACAAGTTCTTGAGCTATGTTTGCTTCAAGGTGTTGTAGGAATGTGAACTGGGGAGATGGGGATTGAGAGTTTTGGAGGATTAGAAGGGGCTTGGAAAGGATTGAGTGAGAGACTGGTGCTTTCGTTCAGGTTCAATTGATGATGTTACGACTCACATCTAGACTTTTGGCATGCTGAACCCTTTCGTGCGTATGCTGGTGGATGCTTAGTGCCCCGTGGTTCCTGCACATCGAAGCAGCATATACAGTCGTTACTGACGATCGATGGCCACATGCTGCTTCTCGTGCAGACATGTTTCTTGGGGGTACATGTCAGGCACGCTACAAGCTCGCTCCTCACATACCCCGTTGTGTTCTTTGTTTGTTTATCTACCTGCTCCCATTCTTCCTCCGTCCTTCATCCTCCATCACCATCTTCTTCACACTGTTTTTTTAAGATACGACCCATTCTCCTTCGTTCTCAACCATCCTCACTTCTATCATCATATATCGCTTCCAACTCTCATTCATACCCACTATCGATACCTCAACACCCTATCGATATTTTTATCACATCGTCACCACATCTTCATCATTCCATCACTATGGAGGAGGACATGCACAGCACAGCCTCAGCGTATTCGGCAAGCTCCACAAGTCAAGTGCCTCTTCTCGGTCGGACAAGCGCAGTGGTCTCATACCAGTCCTCCGTTGGCAACATCGCTACGACAGTATGTATCTGATGCCAGAACTTCCCCATGTCATACTAACCCGCGCGACAGCCTATAATGCTCAAGCCAACCGACACATGATCCTGCGATCACCCCACAATCCGAGGACAAACGAGCCGATTCGTGGTTTTCCCGAAACGTTAGTGGACTGTTCCTTGGTATCATTACAACATTCATACCGCCATATCTCGCACATTCTTATCCAGTCTATCTATATCGCCATCGTTCTCCCGCTCGCTCTTGTCCTGCCACGATCGAAGGCTTCTACAAGAACACCACGGTTTGACGCAACTACGAGGTCAATCCATGATCGATAACACTTTCCTCGAGGGAGCCATGTATCCACAATGCAACATCGCTCTTATCGGATATATCGCTACAACGGTATGCATCCGACACTACAACTTCTCTGTGCTATGCTAACCGTTTCTTAGTATTCTTACGACATCTCTACCTTGTTCATCCCTCCATTGGCAACACTTCCCTAGAGGAAGTCAGATACTCGAGGACCGACATGGCATCGATCATCACGACACCACTATCGAGGATGTCCGATTTTTCCAGTGCATTTTCGGCAGCATCGTTACCACTGTATGTCTCTTACTCTAGAGATTCGCTACGTCTTACTGACTGTTTCTTAGTATTATTACGGCATCTCTACCTCATTCATCCTCATTCTTCGAAACATGTATCCTCAACAGTTGGAGATGTAGAAGGTGCGCGAGCAGCAGATGGCGCAACAACAGGCAGCGCAACAGGCAAAGCAACAGGCAGCGCAACAGGCGCTATCGCTGCGCTGATACCCCTTGTCACATCCGCGACACTCGAGGTACGTCTCATTCGTCAGCTGTCTCATTATTCAGAACTGACTTCAATATTCCAGCGTCCCGCCATCGTATTGCCATATTCTTGATATCCTTCCTCTAGGACGGTCCTCATTCTCGTCATCAACTATTCCTTCCTATCATCATCGCCGTCATTCAACAACATTCTTACGACATATCCATACCACCATTACTACACCTCCGCAAACGCTCACATTGTCGGTCTTTCTTGCTGAGCCACCCGATATCATGCTAACAAGAGTTCAAGATTACCCGTCAGAACTCCAACAGCGACGGAGAAGATGCGCTCGAACATCTGTTCCGCGCACTTGACCCCAATCATTTTCCAAGCTCTTGGACTCTTGAACAAGGGCGAGCGCGGCTCATTGCTATTATCTAGGGTGTCGAGGCTATATTCCTATCGTCTTTCATCCATC